TGGTCCTCACTTAACATTGTTATGAGACTTGCTAATGCATTTACTGTTCTATGTTGTCTATTATGGTTACCTTCATTCTGCCTGGCCCCAGAAGGCAGAATTAAAAAGAATGGGTAGATATTGCAGAAAGGCATATTTCAGCTCTATTTAATGAAAAAAAAATTCTAGCCATTAGAGTTGTTCAAATTAGGAATGTACCACCTTAGGAGATAGTGAGTTACCTCTAGCTGAGGGTCTTCATACAAAGTCTGGAATCCACTTAATGCAGATGTTTCAAAGAGGATTTGTGGTCAGGTGGTTTTGTTCAATCCTGTGCAATTCTTCATGATCCCTTTGGGGATTTTCTTGGCAGAGATACTGGAGTGGTTTGCCATTTCCTTCTCCAGCTCATTTTATAGATGAGGAAACTGAGGCAAACAGAGTTAAATGACTTGCCCAGGGTCACACAGCTAATAAGTGTCTGAAGCTAGATTTGAACTCAGTAAGATGAGTCTTCCTGACACCAGTCCTGGCTCTCTATCCACTTAGCCGCCTAGCTGCTCAGGGACAGGTCAGATTTAAAAGCCTGTGTGTTCCAACACAACTCAAAGATTCCATCAATTTGCATTTGTTTCTTTTAGTTTGCTTCTAAGTGGCACAGTGGAGAGAACCCTGGACCTAGAGCCTGGAAGATCTGAATTCAAATACGGCCTCAAATACTTAGTAGCTCTGTGATACCCAGGAAGTCACTTAGCCTCTATCTACCTCAGTTTCCACTACTGTTAAATGAGGGTGATAATGTTGAGAATAAAATCAGATGATATTTGCAAAGTACTTTGCAAACCTTAAAGTACTATATAAGTGTTAGCTGCCATCAGGGCAGCTAGGTGGCACAGGGGATAGAGAGCTTGGCCTGGAGTCAGGAAGACCTGAGTTCAAATTTGGCCTCAGGCCCTAGCCTTGTGAGCCTGGGCAAGTCCTTTAACCCTGTTTGCCTCAGCTTCCTCATCTATAAAATGAGCTGGAGAAGGAAATGGCAAACCACTCCAGTGTCTTTGCCAAGAAAACCCCAAATAAGGTCATGAAGAGTTTGACATGACTGAAAAGACTGAACAACATCTGCTTCTTAAAGTATAAGCCCCATGAAGGGATCCCAGAAAACACCTAGTCTAGTTAAGGCCCAGGAAAGTTGAGACTTACCTAAGCTCACACAGATAAGCCTCGAAGGTAGGATATAAACCCAGTTTCTCTATTTCTCAGCTTATATACTTGGAAACAGAAATCCAAAGCAGAACAAAGCAGTTTGTACTGGAATCAGAGAACAAGCTAATATGATAATCCCTGAAAGATTTTAAGAAACAGAATGTCCTTTTGGAGCTAATTTGGAGTTGGACAATAAGAAGCCAGAATTATAATGGAAGCATGTTGAAAGAGCTTGTTTTTAAAATCCTCAGCTAATGCCTTTTGGTCTGCAATATCCTTCAGCAGAATCAGAATCAGAATCATATCATGTCTCGATGTCTTGGACTTAAAACCACTTTCTAATGAGCTCCTTCTGATACTTAAGGAACTTCAGCTCTACGGGTTGTGGTCAAACCCAACAGGTTTTCTGCACACTTCTGCAATCATTATGTACTTAACAGTGAGGCTTCACTGCACTAAAAGCAAAAAGAGTGTTGGTGTCTATGTAGTGTTGTTGTAAATGAGACAGAGGTAGTATGATGTTGTCCGTAGAATCTGTACCTAGAGTCAGGAAGACCTGGGTTTGATTCCTGCACTGGCTTAGCGGTTATGACCATTGGCAAGTCAATTAACCTGGAAAGCTCTAAAACTTCTGTATTCAGATATAGTCTGGTTACTTAGTAGATAGTGGAAGGAGATCCCACACACATTTGACGTAAATGCCACATAGAAACTTGCTGGAAAAAAAAGGAGGAGAAAGGCTGTAAGGTTACAGAAATGTTGTTTAATAACATGGAAAGAGAGCAAATGAGAGTCCTCTTTCTCCCATTAAAGAAACTCTCTTGGATGAGTGACTGCAGGGCAAATGAGATTCTACTTTCTTCCAATAAAGGACCCTTCTTGAATAAGTGGCCCCAGGGAGAGTCTGGAGACATGCTTTTTCTTTCTCTACCATAGTAAGAAGAGCCTGGATATACTGTAACTATGGATTGTCAGAAAATTGGGGATCTGAAAAGATTCCTGAATGTCCCTTCCTTCGGATAGCAGTTAGTGCAGCTCTGTAAATAAGCTCCTCTCTCCCTCTATTCAGTCCCTCCAAAGCATTTCACAGCTTCTTAATTAGACATATGTCCTCTATTTATTACCATTTAAAAGGGCAAGTGGTTAATGTCCCACTGTTGAAAATTCCTAGTAATTAATTATTAACTCAATAGGCCCAGCTACTTCTCTACCTACCTCATCGTTAGTTGTATCTCTCTCTATTTATACATTAATATAGAGTAATTAGATGATGGCAGGCAGAAGTACCTCAGAGCTAGCCAGTGTCATCTGCATTATAATGTATCTATTGCTACTTCTTCCAGTCATCTTTTTCTGGGCATCTACAGTGAGGAATGGAGGAGGCCGATTTCATCAAGAACTGGCCACCCCTCTGAACTCCACCCCACTGCTTGCCAGGTCACTGAGGCAATTTCCAATCAGTCTGAGGCCCCTGATTTAGAGGAAGAAAATGCAAGGGCTTGCTACTGCCTTCATCTATAATGGGGAGGTGTGATGAAGGGAAACTACAGATCCCAGCATGCAATGCAGCTTGGTTGCCATGACCCAAAGAAAACTTTACGTAGGGAGATGTTTAATCTCCCTGGGATATAGCTCAGCAATGAAAATGAGGACAGACAGAGGTCACTTTGAAGTGCTGCTCTGCCAGAGTTGGCCTGCAAGCTACACTTTGCCCACCCCTGACTTACATCATGCTTCAAGGATGGAAAGGGAAAATGCTTAACAAACAGCTGGTGGTTAAGCTTTTACAATGCCTCATAACAATGTCAATGATAACGTAATACTTTGTACTTAAAAGCATCTCTCATCCAAGGAAGTATAAGAGCTTTACACCCAATAACTCATTATAGCTCCCAACATCCCTGTGAGGTAACTAGCAGGCAAATATTATCTCTCCTGTACAGACGGAGAAACTGATGGCAAGAAGGGTGAATTGCTTTTGCCATGATTACACAATGACTCAGTAACAGTCCTGGGAAGAGAACTTCTGTTTTCTCTCCATAACCCTACCCTGTTTCTGCTGGACCACAAGTTTAATAGCACAAATGCATTTCAGAACCATTTTTTTTTCCCAGCTGAAATTGACATCAGCCAATTGGATTGCTAGACTTTTTTTGTAACAACAGCAAAAGCAAATGTATTGTCTCTATCTAATTGTGTAGGGTTCTAAGTCACTCCCTTTAATCATAAAGTTGGCAATAATCTTTAGGATGGGTTGAAATTACAAGTAAGAAAATTCAATTTTGTGTTTCTAACACAAGTTTTTTTTTAAATTTTAGACTATATGTGTATCATTTACTTCAGTCAGATATATATAAATTGGATTTTAAGAAACTATATACTATGCATTAAAGATTTTATTTATATTTATGTGATTCATTTTGTAACTCCAACAGAAATTCAAATGATTTTGTTGTTTTACTTTCTAAAGCTCACCAAAGAGGAGACCTGTGAAACATCTCTAAATCAACAGAGTTTTCACGAGTATATGGAAGATAATTTTGTTACCCAAAATACTAAAATTATTTTAGGTAAAATACAAATCTCATGTATTTATGATACACACACACATATATATATATATATATATATATATATATATGTATATATATATATATATATGTATATATATATATATATGTATATATATATATACACATATATATATATATATATATATATATATATATATATTCTTTCTCCTTTAACAGAAGGCATGTGTTAGTATTTTATCAAAGCAAGTAAGTTCAGTTTTTATTATTAAAAATAATTCATTAAGTATCTATTGTGTTTGAGGCACTGTCTAGTAGCTGGGATACAAAAATGAAAAAGATATAGTCCCTGCCTGACCTCAAGGATTTTACAATGTATTTAACTGTATTTAATCATTTAGGCTATAAAAGTAAAAATAAAAATAATTTAAAATGACTCATTTAATCAAATCCACAAGAAAAACTTGAAATATGACATTATGTTAGTGTTGGGGAAATAGGACATGATTTTGAATCAGGAGACCCAAGTTCAAGTTTGGCTTTCACTGCTTATTAATTGTTTGTCCTTTGGTCAATCACTAAACTTCTTTGGGCCATCACTAAACCTCTTTGGGCCTTCATTTCCAATTCTAAAAATTATAAGGTTAGACTAGATAACTTCTGAGTTCCTTCCCAACTCTGAGTTTACCATCATAGTAACAAAGTAAAATTATCATCTTATTTAATGATGGTATGTATTTTATAATTAAGTGTATCTTAAATTGAATTTGTATTTAAATATTTTAATTAAAAATGATCAAAAAAACCACAATATTTTTCTTTAAAAATGTCTTTGGTTTTTATCTATTTGACCATACATTCATGCTTTACAAGTGGGTATGAATTTTGGCTGTGAATGGCCAAAATATGTCATCACCACATGGCCAGTTTAAGAGTTAGGAACTTCTCTGAAGTTATCTGCATTGATCTTTGGAGGAAAGGGTGTTTAAGACCAACATTAAAATATTTCCAGTTCGAGAGGACCTGCCGGATCTTTTGTTATACTGAAACAGGTTCAAGAACTGGCAGTTACCTCTATCCCATATATAAAGTACATTTATCCCTTCAATATGGAAGGGGTTAAGGGTGTGGCTCCCCCTTGATCTGGAAAATCTGTGTAAATTTTTTTGGCTCTCCCTTCATACCAGATAAGAAGTCTGAATTATTATAGCATTAAAAGATAAAATATGTTGATATTATACAATAGTATACATATATTTTATGCATTTCTGAGTTTCTTTACTTTTTCTGTGTTGTCTGCTGGCTTTCATGTGTCATCTGCTGCTTCTGTAAAACTACCAAAAAATATTCTCATTTAATCTCTTATGCCAACCCACAATATATAAAAAGCATTCTGGGGAAAGTTGTAATGTTGAAAGGACAACTATCTTTAAAGCTTCCTAAAGTTGGGTGGGAGGGTAGAAGTGGAAGGGATGAAGTGATGTATCAATAAAATATAGAGGGTATGTTGAAATCATAGTAGCTGGTTTAGCGGTCTTAAATCTGACTCAACTGCTTGGATTTGATGCTTTGGGAAGACCCTACTGTGAAGGGATTTCCTCCTTCCCCTAAATTTTAATCATATCCATCAAGGCTATGAAGGGGTTGGGATCTGGGCCCCAGAAAGGAAAAACCCTGGACTTTCCCAGATGGCCAAACCGCTGGCATTCACCTGAGGCTATAATCACATCAATTGGCCTCTCATTGTGGCTACACCCAATCTCCCTTCCTTTGTTTTACCTCCCTATGACCCCTGGCCATTTCCCACCTTTAATCCTAGCTAAGCTCCATTTTCCCTTGGCCAGAAGGTCCAGGTCCCAGGAGTTCTGTTCACCCTAGTTTACTGGCCACTCGTAGGTCCCTCCCACAGTCTTTCTGAATATAAGGTCCACCTTGTCTCCATTAAGATGCTGGGATTCCTACAATCTATCCAAGGCTTAGATTCCTAAAATCTAGCCACTGCTTAGATTCTTAAAATCTAGCCACAGTTTAGATTCTTATAATCTAGCCAATAGCTCACTAATGTTCAGACTCCTTAAGAGTCTGTCTATTATGGCAGATGTTTTAATAAACCTTGTCTTTGGCTGAAAGAAGGCTTGGGTCAAATTCTTTTGGGAAGTACCCACTTGTTGTGATTTAGGGGTCACAGCACCCCTGAACCCCTAAACCACATCAGCTAGATTTAGGAGCAACAAATTATATTAGGGTGATATATTTAGATCAGCAAGGGACCTTAAGGATCATCTTATCTCAGAATTTTGGAGTTGGAAGGGACCTCAGAGGCCATCCATTCAAGCCCATACCTCAACAAAGTATCTGCAACATATTTGACATGACACCATCGAACTTTTAATTAAAGACCTCCAGTGATGTGGAACCTGGCATTCTCAGAAGCAGCTCATTCCACTATGCTGCACATTCTTTTAGTGGGCTTATTTTGCTTTAGGTTATTTGTCCTCTAGAGTCAAACAGAATAAGTCAAATTTCTCCTCTCTAATAGCCTTTCAAATACGTAAAAAGAGATATTAATTCTCTCCAACTTGAATCTTCTCTTCTCAAAGGTAAGCAAGCACCCCCAATTTGTACAACTGATTTTTAGTTGTCATGAACTTGAATCCTTTTGGCTACTTCTTTTGTCTATATATCCTTTAATTCATCAATGTCCCTGCTAAAATATGCCACCCGGAAGGTCCACCCTCCTGACTTAATATTTGGGAAGAACTGGCCCAGAGAGGTGAAGTGATATGTGTTGGCCTCTGGATTCTGTTCATCATGGTTTATTTGCAGATTCTAGTTTGAAAAGTTATCTTCTTACATGGCAGGCAAATTGTCATGCAAACCATGCACCAAAGCCATAAAAGAGGACAAAAAAGCAATAAAAACTAAATGTTCCTAAAAGAAGCCAATGGGAAAAGGTTTGTACTTTACCCACAGTTACCAGAAACTCACCTGGGGCCAGCCTGGAAGCCTGTTTATTTTCAATGGACTTGTTCCCAAGACAAGATATAGGCACAAAGCTGAAAAACAGAGTTGAAGTGGGCAAAGTATATAATTTAAGATGTTTGTTTAATGTTCTTCCTGGTCCTGCCTACCAGCCACAGGCAAAGAGGTCTAGTCTTCTTACCTCTCTCTTCTCTTTTGCCTACATTTTTAAACAAAATTTACTTTTTTGTTGTGACCATAATAATGATCAATAAACACAAATATTTCGACATACAAAAAGGACCAAGAAAAAGGCTATAAGGCTGTATAACAAACTTAACTTCTGTTACATAGTTTTTTAAAAACAAATCAATCTCTCTTCTTTCTCATCTTTTCATCTGTCTCTCTCTCTCTGTCTCCTTCCCATCACTCCCCCCTCCTCTCTCATCATATATATTTATATATTTAAATATATCTATATATGTATGCATATATGTGGTATGTATGCACTTCTTACAAAACAAATTTTATATATGTGTATATATGTATATATGTGTGTGTGTGTGTGTGTGTGTATACACATTCTATTTCTATCCACTTCTGCATTTGCACTTTTTTGTTTCCTCCTGTGCATTTTTCTGCCAGACCGTGTCCTGATGTTAATTCAGCTTTTTGCTGTAAATTTGAATAGCTACATTTGCATGTCTCAGCCTTCCAGAATTTGCTTTGCCAACCCTCAGTGATGTGTGTGGGAATCTAGGGTTTGGGGCGGTATCTCCCTATAGTGTTCCCGTAGTGTTCTAGAGCAGGAGTTCTTAACATTTGTTTATGTCATGGACCCTTTCTGACAGCCTATGGACCCCTTCCTTTTCAGACTAGTTTTAAAATATATAAAATGAAAAATGTAGAATTAGCAAAGAAGCCAATTATATTTTTAAAGTGTCATAATTTTTTTTTTAATTTTTGTGGACCTCAGATCAAGAATTCTCCTGCTAGAATATAAACCTATAGAATATGGATGGCCTACTTTACTTCCTGACTCCCAAGACAAAAAGACACTTCTCTACCTGGCCTTCTGTCCTATGTCCCCATCTGTTTTCTAGCCTGGTGCCTTTCTCATTTTCAGCTGATCTCTATTTTCCAGCCTCAGAAAATTCATTCTCAGTTTCTTACTTCTGCTTGTCCTCTTTATTCTTGGATGGTATCCAGGAAGTAAATTCTACTAGTTAGATTTTCTTTAGTTTTGTTCTTTGTGGGGAATTTTCTCTTCCAGCTATTTCCATGATCCAGTTTGTGGCCTAGACTACTAGGTCCCTCTGAGCCTGGTCCCCCCTGCTATTCCTTCTAGGCCCCCTGGCCAGACTCCTCTCTTCAATCTCCCTATAGAAGGGAATAATTGCCTTAGTTTTCTACTCACTGTCAGATATAATCTGGCTGATATCACCATTGACGCTAGAATCAATGACTTTGCTGTCTCTCCATTACCTGCTTCTATTCCTTCCACACCTCAAGGTGAGCATGATGATGTAGGCATGGTCCTCAATACCATGGCACTAGTTTCCATAAAAGAACATACTCACAATAATTATAAATAAAAGTGCAATGGCCTATAACAATATCAACATAGTTTCACTACCCCTCTACACAAATACCCAACAGTAACTAATTATATAGGGTCATATCATCCCAAAATACTACACAGCTTCCAATGAGACATTCCTTTATTAATTTTTAAAAATCTAAATTTAAGGTCTTTAACATCTTACTCCTTCCTTTCAATAGAATAATTGTTGTTGTTGTTGTTGTTTGCCCTTTGTTCTCAGAGAGAACCATGACGTCAGGCAGGTGATGCCATGACTTGCAAGTGAATTGGATTTAAGTGAGGCAGGGCTGTGCAAAGTCACCAGCCTCACTTTCTCCTCCAGAGGCATCTGGGTCCAGCGGCCAGATATAATACAATAGAGATTGGAAGACTTGGTATCCTTGAAAGTTGAGTTGAAAATTCAGCAATCAGAAAATAGTTTATCATTTAGGAGAACTTTTTTCTGAGATGTCCAATATCTAGTGTTCCCAAGGATCTGGAATTTAACTTTTCAGGGTCAGAAGAAGATAAATTGGCTGAGGTCTTTTTCTTTTTTTTTACTTCATATTTATTTTAATGTCACAGCACATCTTTGGACCTAATGACAAAGCTATTTATGCTTTGCCCTGGAAAACCTTTTAGGCTTCCTATAGATATCTGCTTTCCATAGATATTTGAGGGATACACAGATGGAAAAAGAAATACATAAATAATATGCAGAGATAGACAGGTAGATAGAAGATAAATAGACTGAGAGGACTATGAATGGATGATGAATTAATAAGAATGTACTGTGCGTCCCCTTTACAGAGAGATATACTTGTTTTTTTTCTTTATCAATCATTGTGAGCAATTTGAAATTAAAATGAAAAATATTCAATTAGAGAAGGCAAAAAGTTAAATTTTCCACAGACTCTCAAAGCAAATGCCTGAGGATCCAAAGACAGGTGGCTCAAGCAATTACTAAAAAGAGCCATCACTTTCTTGCCTTTCTAATTTTCCAATTCTCCCTTTTCTTTTCATAATTCTCCTCTATTCACCATTTACACATTCTAGCTTTCATTCCCCTTTTTATTTCACTTATGTCTTTCTTTGCCTTCCGATCTGTTTTTCATTCCATTTTCCCCTTTTTGCCCTGAGGCAGCATGGTATTGCATATAGAACATTCAATTTAGCATCAGGTCTTGGGTTCTAATTTTCCCTCAGATATGTTCTGGCTACATAACCCCAGGAAAGTCATTTAACCCCTGTATGTTAGTTTTGTTTTCTGTAAAATGGAGCAATTAGACTCAATTACCTTTCAGTCATTACGACTTAGTCCTATCTAACTCTAAATCTGTTATTTTAAAAAAATTATTTTTTTAAAATTATCCTTAGTTCATAAGAGAAGTCTTTACTTTAGGCCCTCTCCATAAGGGAAAGGAGTGAAGAAAGGAATTAGAAGGGAAAGGAAAGGGGAAAATATATGTGCTATTTAGAATTTTGGTGACTTTTTTTTTTCCTTCAGAGCATTACTTTGCTAAAATGTTTTTGATTCTAACTCCTTTCTGAATGGCAGGCTAAGAAAAGTAGGGAAGCAAGAGAATGGGAAAAGAAGTCAGAGAGAATCTGGTGCCTTAAGGGACTGTAGGGTTGGGATTCCAAGAAAAATAGAAATGGAATGCAATGAGAAACAGTTTGAAAATGAGAAAATAAGGAAGCAGTAGAAGGTCAGCTCTATGATGCATGATCACAAGAAGTCAGTAGCGGATGTTTAATGATAAATAATGATTAATAAGTTATAAAACATTCCCGCAAAGTAGGTTATGTAAGTATCCATTTCATAAGTGAGGAAAATGAGTATTAGGTCTTGGTGAAGGTCAAATAGATAATAAATATGAGTGGCAGGATCTGAATTCACATCCCTTGACTTCATCTGCTATAACAGACATAGTATCATTTTTTAAAAAAATAAATCTCACACCATGTTAATGCTATTCATTTATTGTGTTTATTGTTTTCAGTCTCACAACTTTAAACTTCCCCTATCGGACCACTTTCAAAGCTTGGGAGAGGGGCAGCTAGGTGGCGCAGTGGATAGAGCACCGGCCTTGAAATCAGGGGGACCTGAGTTCAAATGTGACCTCGGACCAAACACTTGACACTCACTAGCTGTGTGATTGCCTACAAACAAACAAACAAACAAACAAAAACAAATACAAAGCTTGGGAGAGACTGGGGATTAGTTGGGTGTTTGAGTTTTTTTGTATGATTTATTCATTTTTGATGCCCTTAGCCTGTACTAGAAATCCCCTAGATTTATGGGAACCCCAAAGAAACATTGTATTTAAAGGCTGAAAGCAATTTGGAGGACATGTTGTTCTTTAGCCTCTTATTTCTTGGCGGTTATCCACTTTCAGATTTTAGCCAGAGCTGAAGAAAAAAGAGAGAGGTGCCAATTAAGTTCCCATGAGAAAATGATGCAGTTTGGATCTCCAACTTAATTGGAGACAGGAAGAGATCAGAAACCTCATAGAGAAAGCTGTTATCAGAGGGATTTCCTGAATGTTCTCCAGGTCCAAATAGTTAATATAGGCCTCTGTTCCTTCCCTAATTACTTCCTTCTACCTCTGACTTTCTGTTTTCATCTCAAAAACTCAGCAGTAGGATGACCAATGTACTAGAACTTATGACATATAGAACTTGAATTATAAATATAAATACATATTTGAAGTTCATTGTGGCTTTTTTCACATTTCCTTTTTTAAAATTTTTATTAATTTATTTATTTTTAGTTTTCAACATTGACTTCCACAAGATTTTGAGTTCCAAATTTTCTCTCCGTCTTGTCCTTCCCCCTCTACCCCAAGATGCCATGCATTCTGAGTATCCCTTCCCCTATCTGCCCTCCCTTCTATCTCTGCCCTCCTTCTGGTATCCCCTTCCCCTTCAATTTTCCTGTAGGGCAGGATGAATTTCTGTACCCCATTGCCTGTATTTCTTATTTCCCAGTTGCATGTGAAAACAAATTTTTTTAACATTTGTTTTTAAAACTTTGTGTTCCAATTTTCTCCCTTCCTTCCTCCCCACCCACCCTCATTGAGAAGGCAAGCAACTCAATACAGGTTATACATGTGTAGTCATGCAAAACACTTCCATAGTAGTCATGTTGTGAAAAACTAAGTATATTTCCCTTAATCCTATCCTGTCCCCCCCATTTATTCTATTCTTTCTTTTGACCCTTAGAAATGTTTGCTTCTGATTACCCCCTCCCCCAATCTGCCCTCCCCTCTATCATCTCCCTGCTGTCTTGTCTCCTTCCCCCTCCTATTTTCCTGCAGGGTAAGACAGATTTCCATACCCAATTGAGTGTTTATATTATTCCCTCCTTAAGCCAAATCTGATGAAAATAAGATTCACTCATTCTCTCTCACCTTCCCCCATTTCCCTTCCCCTGTAAAAGCCTTTTCTTGTCTGTTTTATGTGAGATAATTTACCCCATTCTACCTCTCCATTTCTCCTCCCAATATAATCCTCTCTCACACTTAATTTTATTCTCCAGATATCATCCCTTCATCTCCTTGTACCCTCTGTTCATCTATCTATATATATACATACATACATATAATTTTTTCCCTCTAAGTACCCTAATTCTGACAAAGGTCTCATGAGTTACAAATATCATCTTTCCATGCAGAATGTAAACAGTTCAACCTTAATAAGTTCCTTATGATTTCTCTTCCCTGTTTATCTCTTCATATTTCACTTGAGTCTTGTATTTGAAAGCCAAATTTTCTATTCAGCTCTGGTCTTTCATCAAGAATGATTGAAAGCCCTCTCTATTTCACTGAATATCCATTATTTCCCCTGAAGGATTATACTCAGTTTTCCTGGGTAGGTGATTCTTGGTTGTAATCCTATCTCCTTTGCCCTCTGGAATATCATATTTAAAGCACTCTGGTCCCTTAAATGTAGAAGCTGCTAAATCTTGTGTTATCCTGATTGTATTTCCACAATACTTGAATTGTTTCTTTCTGGCTGCTTGCAATATTTTCTCCTTGACCTGGGAACTTTGGAATTTGGCTACAATATTCTTGAGAGTTTTCCTTTGGGGATCTCTTTCAGGAAGTGATTGATGGATTCTTTCAATTTCTATTTTGCCCTCTGGTTCTAAAATATCAGGGCAGTTTTCCTTGAAAATTTCTTAAAAGATGATGTCTAGGCTCTTTTTTTGATCATGGCTTTCAGATAGTCCAATAATTTTTAAATTCTCACCCCTGAATCTGTTTTTCTAGGTCAGTTGTTTTTCCAGTGAGATATTTCACATTGTTTTCTATTTTTTCATTCTTTTGGTTTGGTTTTAGAGAATCTTGATTTTTCATAAACTCACTAGCTTCCAATTGCTCCATTCTAATTTTTTAAGGAAATACTTTCTTCAGTAAGCTTTTGGACTTCCTTTTCCATTTGGCCAATTTGCTTTTTAAGGCATTCTTCTCCTCATTGGCTTTTTGGACCTCTTTTGCCATTTGGGTTAGTCTATTTTTAATGTGTTATTTTCTTCAATATTTTTTGGGTCTCCTTTAGCAAGCTGTTGACTTGTTTTTCATGATTTCCTTGCATCCCTCTCATTTCTCTTCCCAGTTTTTCCTCTACTTCTCGTACTTGCTTCTCAAAATCCTTTTTGAGTTCTTCCATGGCCTAGGACCAATTCATATTGTTCTTGGAGGCTTTGGATATAGGAGCTTTAACTTTGTTGTCTTCTTCTGGTTGTATGTTTTGATCTTCTTTGTCACCAAAGTAAGATTTTATGGTCTGAGGTGGTTTTTTTTTTTTCAGTTTTGTTTTGTTTTTTTGCTGTTTGCTCATGTTCCCAGCCAGTTACTTCACTATTAAAGTCTTTGTTAGGTGGGGGTCTGCTTCCACTGTGGTGAATGTGCTGTCCCAAGCTTCAGGGGTTTTGTGCAGCTGTTTTCAGAGATATTTCTAGGGACCTGTAAGTTTTCAGTTCTCCCAAGGTGGCATGATAAGGGGCGAGGTGTTTACTCCTTTCCTGGCCTGTGCTCTGGTCTATGATCGACCACAAGCACTCTTTTCTGCCTTGAAACTGTGAGGAGGATTCTCTTATCACTGCCACCACAAGCTCCACCATGCCAGTGCTCTGCCTTGCCCAAGGATCACCACCTAGAACTATGACCCACATCTAAGCAGGAGCAAAGCAAGAGAATCCTGCCTCAGTGCCAGCAAAGAGAGCCCTTAAATCCCACTCTGATCAGCCACTCAATTGCCCCTCAGTTTGTGGGCCAGAAGCTCTTCCAACGCCACTCTGGGGCCACATGGTGACTGGGGTTGGGACCAACCTTCTCTCTCACTGTGATCACAGACTTTTCCTACTGACCTTCTAAGTTGTCTTTGGTGTTTGTGGGTTGAGAAGTCTGGAAACTGCCATAGTTGCCTGTGATTCAGTCCCCTGAGGCCTGCTCCAGGTTTGCTGAGGCCTGTTTTGCCTAGGCACCTATGCCGAACTGCATTCTTCTCCCCACCCAGTGTGATAGACCTTTCCAATCAACCAAGACCAGCTTGTCTTGTCCTGGAAATTTGTTTCACTCTGTCCTTTTGTGGGTTCTGCTGCTTAAGAATTTGTTTAGAGCCATTTTTTGCAAGTATTTGGAGGGGTTTGGGGAAGAGCTCAAGCAAATCACTGCTTTGACTCCACCATCTTCTAAATATATATATATATAAACACATACTCATATATACACACACACACACATATATACATATATACACACATATACATATATACATACATACATATACGTATACATATACACATGAATATATATATGCACATATGTGTGTGTGTATATATATATATATGCACATATGTGTGTGTGTATATATATATATATATATATATGCACATACACACACATATATAATTCTTTACAAAGCACATTCATCTCACAACAACCCTGTAAGGTAGTTATTAATAGTAGTATCATTCCCTTTTTACAGACTAGTGAACTGAGGCATATGAATTAGTAAGTCAATATACATTTATTTCAGTGTTTACTAAGTTCTAGGTACTGTGCTAAATACTAAGGAGAGAAGGAAAATTGAAAACAAACTCTCAAGGAGCTTAGATTTGAGTAGGGACCAGAATATGTAAATAGATAGCTACATAGAAGATACATGCGGAATAGAGAGAGATTACCTTCAGATGGGAAGGCTGTCACAGTTGGGGGAGTGAAAATGTCCCTCCTACAGAAGGTGACATTTCATCTAGGTCTTGAAGGAAGCCAGGAATTCTAAGAGAGTGGAGGATCGCCACTCTCTTTTTTTTTTTTTAAGTATGGGGAATAGCCAGTACAAATGTATGGAGATGGGAAATGAATCATCATAGGTGAGGAGTGGCAAATAGGTTGCACAGTAGCTTGCATGGAACAAAGAAATGTGTAAAACTACTGGTGAGATAAGAGGGCTGAGTGACAAGTATTGTCACACAGCAAGCAACTAGTAGAGGTCTCTTAGATACAAGCGTAGTTTAGTATGAAGAAAAGATATCATACCATGCTGCCTCTCCACAGAAAATGGCACTTCCAAATATAGGCTGATATCAGGCAAATTAATTAACCTCTCTTGGGCCTCAGTTTCCTAATCTGTAAAATAAAAGGGTCTGAACATTATAGTGCATAGTCTTGGAGGCAAGAATCCTTACTTTAATCCATAGGTTTCTCAAGTGGATAATATGGCCCTTGAGTGGAGAGGGAGAGACACTGGACTGATCCAAGAGAGCAGGAATAGCATTGGGTGCACTTGGGAGGCACTGAATAAAAATAAGGGGTCTGTGGAAACATAAGGAATGAAGAGAAGATTTTGAAAAACCGTTTGTACATGTTTCACATCTATTGTGAAACAGATTTAAAGTTATAGTGATTATAGTATTTTCCAAATAAACACACAAAATGTAACACAATTATAACCAATCAGTGGTCAAGTCTGCCGGCAGGTCTTACCAAGCAAGTGTTGACAGGTGAGTGTGTCACCAATTGTCAGAAGTCCAGCATGCATCAGCAGGAATGTGTGTGTGACGACTTGTTTACAATACAATACTGTAATATTGTATCATCAAAATTTCAATGCAGGAACCCCCCCCCACAAATTTACAGTAAATTATTAAATTTAAGATGTCATATATATATATATATATCACAGTGTGATAGACCTTTCCAATCAACACACGCACACACACACACACACATACATATATATACATATACACATATATGTATATATGCATGTATGTGTGTGTATATATATGTGTGTGTGTGTGTGTGTGTATTTGAAATGACACAAATTTCAAAAGAAAACGTTAAGTGGTTGAAGAAAGTAGAGTTCCAGGGGGGCGTGGAGTAATTTTTTTCTTTTTTGAAAAGGGGGCTGTAGGCCAAATAAGTTTGGGAATGTGCTTTAATTCCCAGCTCCAATGCTTCTTAGCTGTGCAACTTTGGGCAAAACTTAACCCTGCTCAGTCCTAGTTTCACCATATATAAAATGAGGATTATAATGCTACCTTAAGCCCCGTACATAGGCCTACTGGGAGGGAAGGTTTTTGTAAAGCTTAAATCTCTCTGTGTACATGTGAGCTTTAATGATTATCAACACAAGCTTAAAGGTCCCTTTGGCTCTAAAATCTGATTTCCCCCTCCTCTTACTAGCTCTTGGTTAGGGCTCCAGTGAAACACAAAAAATAATGTGCTCATTTGCATATAATTTTACATTTAGTTTATTTGTTATTCATTTAATGTTAAGATGCACAACCTCCGCCCCCAGTACTTTATCATTTTTTTGGCTTGTCTCTCTCACTGTCACACCTATTATCATCAGTCTGTCTGTCATGGAGCACATTTGGAAAAGTGGCAAACTTGCAACTCTGGCAGAGAAAGCAGCCCCTCTGTCTATCTTTCAGCTGCTGTCTGCTTCTTACGCCTACAATCCTTTTCAGGGGGAGAAGTAATTGGTTCATATTCTCCATGCAAATGACTGAGTAGCCTACTCTCTGGCTAGAATGTGGCCATCCACAGCCCCCACAACAGCTGACTACTTGACGTCCCTCAAATTCTCTTGCCTTTTTCTCACCCCCCCCCCCGTGCATTTGTCAGCATTGCCAGCCCCATCAGAAAAGCTTTTCTCTCTTCTAATCCTTAAAGCTTTTCTGACATCACCTTTGCACCTAATTGTAGTATAGTGCTGGACTTGGAATCAGGAAGAACTCAGTTCAGATACAGCTGAGTGGTACAGTGGATAGAGCATGCACCCTGAAGTCAGGAAGGCCTGAATTCAAATCTTACCTCAGACACACTCACTAGTGTGATACTGGACAAGTCTCTTAATCCCCCAGTTGCTTCAAAAACAGCAACAAAAAAATCAAATACTATCTCAGATGCTTATTTGGTCTGTGACCCTAGATAAGTCACTTAAACTCTCTAAGCCTCAACTTCCTCAATATGGTGATACGGGACTTTCTGGCCTCTAGTGTCCTGGATTCATCTAAATTTAGGATCCTATGATGCTTTACATTCTAGTTATTTCTATACATGCTTATTTTTCCTACTTGATTGTCAGTTCCCTGTGGGCAGGAATTGTATTCTTTTATCTTTGTATACCAAGCAAATTGCACATGGTCAACAATTAATGTGTGTCTCTTGAATTGAATTGGATGCTGAAATGTGCCTGGTCTCTGCTTGACCTAGTCCTCACAGGGCCTCTGACAGCCTTGGTCCTTGTGTCTTCAGTTTGTCTCCCATAAACACACATTTTGCCCTTTTAAAATGTGGCTTCTCATCCATTCCTTTCTGCTGCACTTTTCTTGCATACTGTAAGCTAATATGTAGTTTTGTGGTTGTCCATACAACAGTCATAGCCTGGCTTGGCCTGCTTCCTGGTTCCTATTTTCCCTAGAAACTTTGCTTTTTCCTTTTCTATCACTATTCCCCATTCAATTCACATATCATTCTGCTCCCGTCTCACTGTTCTCACCTCAAGCTTAATGTAACCATTAGTGGGTCTAAAACCCATAGTTAAGTTATGATGATGTACCTGCTTCACTCAGAGAGAGGAACACAGATCCAGACGTAATTGAGTAAAGAGAGACCTTTTTTTTTTTTTTTACATTTTTGGTCGCAGGTGTGAAAGGCTTTCTAGAGGCACATCACTGGGAGAGAAAGAATGACAGACCTTTCCCTTGAGACTCGTGGTGCATAGTAATTGGCATATACTGGAGAGAGATCAGTATATTCCTTTCCCAAGGATAATGTGATTAGGATCTGCTGGTGAGTCAGAAGAAAACAGCAGCTACTTGCTGCTGTTTCTGGTCAAGATGTTCTTACTCTAACCGATGGATATCTGGTAGCCCTTATCAAGTGATGAAGAGTAGTCAAGCATTCTTTATCAGGTTTTCCAGTAATGTGCCATGGTGCTAAGAGTGGAGTGATTTCATATTAGAGAGTCAGTGTGATGTGGCGGAAGGGATACTGACCTGTGGAGTCAGAAATCTGAGGTTCAAACCCTTGCTCTGCTATCTTCTAGTGGTGTGACCCCAGGCAACTCATTTGATCTTTCTGAGCTTTAGTATCCTGGTTTGTAAGATGGAGATAATAACACCTGAAACTCCTGCCCCACAGGGTTGATGTAAGGAAAGCAATTTGTTAAATGTAAAAGTACTGTATAAATGTAAATGATTTTTATCCATATTATCAGAACATCTATCAGAGTGGATAGAAATAAATATTCCAAAATATTGGATGCAAAGAGAACCCCAGCTTTCTGCCCTTCTTTTTTTTTTCACTTGCCTTACTTATATTTTCTTTACACAGCTATCAATAAGCATAAACATTTCAATATACAGAGGTAAGAAAAAAGATTTCATATGAAACTGTGAACTTCTATTATGCATACTCAGTTATGTGTAAATAAACATAATAATAACCAAAACTGTCTCTGTATCTCCTTCTAAATTTCCTTCTGCTGTCTTGTGTGGATTTTATCTGAGTATTTCCTTAATGTTCTCTTTCTTTCTTTCTTTGCATCACTATCAACAGCATCTCCCCTACAATTCTACCTTTCCTTCATAGACACCTTCCCTGTATGAATAAGTATGGTAAAAAAAAAAAAGAAAAGAAAAGGAAGAAAGGAAGGAAGGAAGGAAGGAAGGGAGGGAGGGAGGAAGGAAGAAAGGAAGGAAGCCAAACATTGGCTGTTTCAAACAATTCAAGTATCAGACTGCAATTCTATTCCATTAGCCCATATCAAGAGGTGGGAAGCATGTTTCCTCATTCCTTTTTTAAAAAATCATGATTGGTTGTTATAATAATTAGTGTTCTAAGTTCAAAGTTGTTGGTTTTTTTTTTAACATTATTGTAGTTGTTATATAAATTGCTTTCTGGTTCTTCCTACTCCTGTCTCATCAGTTCATACAAGTCTTCCTGGGTTTCTCTGAGCCTATCCCTTTCATCATTATATGCTGTATAATAATATTCTGCTACATTCATGTGCCATAATTTCTTCAACTGTCCTCAAATTGATGGGAACCTACTTTGATACCAATTCTTTGTTACCACAAAAAGTACTACTACACATAGTTTTGGATGTATATGGCAATCTCCACCTCTTTCCTAATTTACCTGTTTCTTTTGAGGAGACCACTATATTTCTCATCACCTAGATTCTCTCTCTTGGAGTCATTCTTTGCTTCTTCCTCTTCTCATTCTCATTTCTACATTCAGTCAGTTTAATTGGTAATTGCAAATCTGACATCTGTCTCCTCTCAATGTAAATGGCCATCACACTAGCCCAGGCTCTCATCACCTCTGGAATAGACTATTGCAATAGCTCAGTGGTTCTCCTTAACTCCAATCACTTTCCTCTCTTGTCTGTTTTCCATTGGATTGTCAAATTAATATCCCTCAGTCAAAGAGCTGACTAGGTCAAGAAACTATAATGCCTCCCTATCGTCTCTAGAATAAAATACAGATTCCTTTATATGACATTCACAGCTTTTCAAGATCTGACTCAAGCCTACTTTTATATTCCATTTTGTTGTCATTCATATACTACATTGCAGCCAAACTGGCCTATTTTATTTTTCATAAATGTGACACATTCCATCTCTTGTATCTTGGCTTTTGCATCAGTTTCTAGACCATGCCTTAAAGATCTTCCATTCTCATAGATGCCTGGTAGAAGTCCTACTTTTCTTCAGGGCTCAGCTCATGTCATCTCCTCCAATAGAACTATCTTGGTAATGCCCTCTCAAAAATAACTGTGTATTCTCTCTCTCTCTCTCTCTCTCTCTCTTCTCTCTCTCTCTCTCTCTCCTCTCTGTCTCTCTCTCTCTCTCTCTCTCTCTCTCTCTCTCTCTCACTCTGTCTCTCTGTCTCTCTCTCTCTCTGTCTCTCTCTCTGTCTCTCTCTCTGTCTCTCTCTCTCATATGTATATGTATATGTAAAATGTATCTCTCTCTCTATATATATACGTATGTATGTGCCATATATGCATATATGTTTATTTAGATATACATGATCTCTATGTATGTATGAATATATAGATATGCGTTTGTACATTTGCAAGTTTCTGTACATATTTACTTACCTGTTAATTCTCAATAGATAATAAGCTTCTTTGGGGCAAGAACTTTTTTTTTTTTGTCTTTGTCTTTGTACCTCCAGTACCTAGCATATACTAGACACTTAATTGCTTATTGAATTAATTGAATAAAGGGGTCACTAAAATATTCATGTTTATATTTTCATTGGATTTTTGTATGGGGTTATTTTTGGGCCTGTGA